TAAAAATAAAAAAAAATATATGCTTATACAATATGCTTATACCTTGGTGAGAAATAAACAAAATACATTTTCGGTACAATTACTATGTCGATAATTTTTAAAGCCTGTTTACGCTTTTTGTTTTTATCGGAGACTCAAAAATTGTTTTCAAATTTTTAAGGCCGATTTATGCAGATTTTGTTTGTTGTTTAGGTTTGAGATATAAATGTTTTGTTGATAACAAATAAAAGGAATAAAGGGGGGGGGGGGGGGGAGGTCTTAATAAGCTTAGTGTGATGGGGAAAAATATCGGAAATTATTAAACAATAGGGGGGGGGGGGCGTTTATTAAGGACTCGAGTTATCAAGATAATGTTAAATGTGGGTGAATCTTATGATAATTTACCATCCAAAAATGATGGTTAACTATCTTCTCAAAATAAAATACCATTAATAAAATAGCAATACCATGACAATTAACGATTGCAAGTTATTCTTACCTTGATTGTGTTCAACATCCATAACTGTTGGCTAATGATCAATAAAGTAAAGTTCATATCATGAAAATTTACTAAATTCAAACCATATTTCAACAGTATTCAAACTAAAACAAAATAATGGCGAAGATAGAACTACAAAAATATAAAGAAAAAAAAAATGTCATAAGAGGTAAAAAACCTTAACTATTTTTTAACAAAACCTCATAACATTAATAAATTTAATAATAAATATGAAATATTTATGACATCAAAAAAATATCCTCTTTAATTATTCCATCAGTAATAAATAAAAGTATCCTATATTATATATCTATCTATTTATATATATATTTATATATCCTATATCTATCTGTAATTAGTATAACTTTATAACAAGTATATCTATTCATCAGAGTTCAATATATTTTTAAACTCCATTCTTCGTGGAAATGCAGTCGCAAATTCATCTTCAACAATATTTAAGTCAATTTCAACATCTCGATGAATGTGCAACATGGAAATGCCATTTAGGCGATCATCTGTCATAGAATTGCGCAAGGAAGTTTTAATTCTTTTCAGAGCTGATAATGATCTTTCACAAGTACATGTTGTAACTGGTACTGTGCAAAGGATTCGAAGTATAGTAGAAATATTTGGAAACGTATAGCCATCACATTTTTGTAGTGAATCTGAAATAGTTTTAGGAGCTGTTTCAGAGTGATTTTTCCAGTATACTTCCCACATATCCAATTCAGCATAAAGATAACTTGGTTTTGGTAAATCATTATTGTATGTATGAGCGAATTCTTTTACTTTTTTCCTCCACTTCTTGTCAGAGATTAAATTTGATGGTATAATGGCGAAACTATCTAGCAATCTTAAATTTTCTAAAGAAAATAAAGAATCTAACTGTGTTAGAATGTGATCAAGAAAAGGAATCAAACAAGTTACTCGATATTATTCACTAATATCATCTACTTGATGATTATCACGTTGTGTTTGTTGTCCACATGTTCTTGGTTTAGATGGCAAGGTATAATTAGTTGCAGCTATGGTAACAGCTTCTTTATACCATTCTGAGTGGAAAATTTCGATAGAGCTCCGAATAGATAAAAGAGTGTTTAAAATTTCCACATCATCACGAGCTTTTGAGAAGTCTTGATCAACTTTTTGCAACGTTTTTGTCAGTGGTCTTGTATACCCTAATAACTTCCTGACTATGATTAAGGTGATGATAAACTTAAACGAACAACATATTGTTACATATGCGGAAGCATCACCTCTGGATTTGTAGTTCCATGCCTCATCTTCTTTAATACAAGTAAGAGATGCAATTATAGCTGGATATAATTCAATAAAAGCTTCAAGACCATCAATTCTTTCAATCCACCTGGTTCTACAAACATTTATTGTCTTTTGAAAGAATGATGTCAGACATAGCTCAACAATTTTTGTAGATAGATCTTCTAACCTCTTTAGAGAATTATTAAAAAAATCAGAGACAATCCTAACATGATCCATCATATCTCGAATTGAAGGAATTGCACATGCTTTGGCAACACACAGATTAAGTTGATGGGAATAGCAGTGGATGTATGGAGCTTTAGGAAAATCTTTTAAAATTAATGCTGCTACACCACAAAGACGCCCTGCCATGTTACCAGCCCCATCATAACCTTGACCACGACAATAAGACATTTCCAGACCAAGTTTATGTATACTTTTCTTGATCTTAGTTGATAACAAAACTCCAGTCAACCCACTATTGCAGGAAACAAATTTTAAAAAATCTTCCTTTACTTTGCAGCATTCATCCACATACCAAACAACTACAGCCATTTGTTCAGTTTGACTAACATCTGAAGCTTCAACTGCTAAAATAGAAAAAAATTTTGCTTTCTTTATTCTGTTTGTCAATAGCGATCGAACAACACCTGCACAAATATCAATCAACTCATTCTGCACTGTCTTTGATTGATAAGTGGCATTTTTAGGACCATTTTTAAAATGGTCACTCAAGATCTTGTCACCGCATAATCCCATCAGATCTAATAAGCATTGGAAAAATCAGTATTATTAAATTGCAAAGCATGATGTTTAGCATCATCTCGATGTCCTCTAAGTGATATATTCTGCCTACAACAAAAAAGGATTGCACGTTATATTGAAAACAAAATTTGCCGATTTCTAGAAATATTATCAGACAGAAATTTATTGAGTTGCAAATTAATTGGAACGGTTTTTTTACTAATTACTGCTTGGAAATCAAGCATTATTTGTATGGAGATTTTATGCATTGGCGAAGTGTTATTATATGATATTATTCTTACATTTCCAACTGACCAAAACTGAAATGGATATTTATGAAATAATTGACTAGTTGAAGAAGCCTTTCCAAACAGAACACAAGATATACAGAATAACCCATCATAGTACTTTGAGTAACAGAGCCATGAAAATTTTTTGAACCAAGCAGGGTTACATTTACGACCATTAGTTTTAGGAAAAACATAGTCAGAAGGTGGTATCCATACGTTCAATAGAATATTACACTTCTCTTGGTTTGATAATTTCCCTCATTTGTCTACAAACAAGCCAATATCAAATTCGTTGCAATCATCTTCTGTTGTTGCATTTTCACAATTTACATTTAACTTTGGAATTACGACTCCTGATATTGATTTTTCAAATTTATTACTTAAAACCGAAGACGAACTGGACACTGCCAAAGGTTTATTGTTCACAGAAAAAAAATTCTTAATACTCAATGATGGTTTGGTTAAACTAATTTTTTGAACAGCAGAACAAGGTATTTGAAGAAGTCAATTATTTGAAGGGCATTTTTCACCAGTTACAACAATATTTTTTGAAGAATGCAGTACATGCAACATTGGATATTACTAACAAGAAAGCGGATCTTTCTGATCGAAAAACACCACTTAAATGCCCCACACGAAAAACAGGATGCACAGCAAAAAAAATTTGCATTCTTGCATAACTCGATTGCACAAAGCTTCCTAAGAGTTGTTGCTAGCATATTGTTTCCGATTAAAGCAATGGAGACAGCAGAAAATAAACAATTGCCATCTTGAGGAGTTCTGGACATAAGAACAAATTTATATGCAAATACACCCACATACACACACACAAACATACACACTCCCACACACACACACACACACACACACACACACACACACACACACACACACACACACACACACACACATTTTTTGACTATAAATCAAGAAGTTCTTTTGATATAGCAAATCTAGCACTAACTAAAAATTCTAAATATCTATTCATCCATTGCGTTAGTCAGCTGGACACCAAAAAAAACTATAACAAAGATTTTACCTGACAGGCACCATTGAACATGTTTCTTCGTTTATAAGTTTATCAGCATACAATCTAGCCAAACTATTACTTGCTGCAACATCCATAAAATCATCGGCTCCACCAGACAATTTATATAAAATATAGATTCCATCAGAGTTTTTCTGGGAGCGCCTGTTTAATTTGGCAGTGTTACTTAACTTAATCTGATCAATTAAAGAATGGTTGTTTGCTTTTAACGCTTGATAGAGCTTCATTGCACTCATTAAAAAAATTAATTAACGCAGATTTTTTGATTTAGCAAAGCAGATTTTTGTTTTTTTGCTATACTTGCTACAGGTTCTCGCTTGATGACCTTTACTCCTAACTTAAAACCTCCTTGTTAATAAAATGATTGCATATAAATAGGCATAATTTTTATAAAGTATCAGGGGGTATGTATAGAGTAGTTTGAAATAATGACAACCTGACTTTTGCTACAGTTGCTACAGTCGATTTGCCATTTTATTTAACTCCCAGTCCATTTTAAGTTAATACGCTGCGAAATGTTTGACATTCTTTCAAAAATATTTGAGCATGTAAGACAAAACCCAAAAAACTTGGGTTTTTTATTATATTTCTGAATGCAATATTTCCGTAAGATAGTCAACTTGGCTCAGCTACAATTATGAATAAATTTTCGGAGCGCCGCGTCTTCACTACTTGCAACCTATCTTGTTAAAATTATAGTCTTCTTTTGCATGAAAAAAAGAATGTATATATCAAATATAAAAAAAAAGAAAAACGGCAACTAAGCTGGTTGTAGCAATTGCTACACTTGCTACAGCCTAGATCCGCCCCTGATATATATATATATATATATATATATATATATATATATATATATATATATATATATATATATATATATATATATATATATATATATATATATATATATATATATATATATATATATATATATATATATATATATATATATATATATGACTTAACAGGTCAATGGAGAATGGCAACTGTCTTTACAACTCTGCTGCTTTATTAATAAATTCATCAGATAAAACACATGAAATTCTTCGACTATTAACTTCTGTTGAGTTGTTTGAGAAAGCAACCTTTTATTCGAGATACCCAATAATCTTAAACCAAGTGGAATCTAAAAGTTTTTCCTTGCTCTCTAGTGTTTTCATGGCATGTGTTTCATTCGAGTCTTCTGATTCTTTTACAGAATTAAATGATATAAATATTGCTGAACTTATAAAAAAAGAAGCCTTTAACAATTGCAGAAACAATAAATTTGCTTCTTTTCTTTGTTTAATTGCATTATCTACAGTGTTAAATAAACAAATTCGGTCTATTTATCCTGAATTTGGATTTGAAAAATATAAAAAGTTATTTAATGTATGTATATACCCACGTGGTGATCATAAAACAAATAAAGAAATTCTGAGTGTTTTATGGTGTAACACTGATTGTCGCTATATTTCCAAGGATAAAGATATGTGGTCACCAAACCATTTTGTCCCTATTGTGAAAAGAGAAGTTTTATGCTCAAAGAAACTTGTCAAAAGTGATTTAAAAAGAGGATTGTGTTCAGTTTTGCCAAGTGTTCTATTGCATTCTACTGTTAACGCTAAGGTTTTTAATTTATCTTGTCAACCTCCTAAAAATCTATTTTCAAAAAAAAAATCATTAGTTCAATCTCACATAAAGTTTTGCATAAGTAATGAAACTAAAATTATAGATGTAAATATTGATATTACTCCTAATCCAATCTTACTTAATTGTATTCCTTGTTCATTATTCCTTTTTATGATGTTTCTACTTACTATGAGTGCGGTAGACAACTATCTGCTGGCAAAGATAATTCAATGTTATTAGATCTAGTTAATAAAATATTTATTCCTAACTCGTCTTTTGTTTTTCCTATTTCTGGTGAAAAAAAGAAACGATCATTTTTACATAAATGGCTACTTGAATATTCCTGGTTAGCTTACTCACAGATGAAAGATGGAGCATACTGCCTTCCATGTACACTGTTGGGAAGCAGAATTCCAAACAATACCTCAATAATCAACTTCATTCGAAAACCTTTTAAAATATGGGGTAATGCAATTCGTGCTTACATGGATCACAATAATAATTGTCGACTTCATCAAATGTCAATGCATTGTCTTAACATGCTGCAATCTAGATCTAATTCAAAAAAAAATCTGATTGAAGTTGACATCGATAATCAGAGAAAAAAACTTATTATAAGTAATCGAAATAAATTAATTCCAATTACAAAGACAATTATTTTTCTTGGCCGCAATGATATTGCTTTTCGAGGTCATCGTGATAACAGTAAGTATCATCCAGAGATCGGAGAAACATGTAAAAATAACATTGGTATAGGTAACTTTGTAGGGCTTTTAAATTTTCGCATTGAAGCAGGTGATAAATTTCTTGAGCACCATATTCGTTCTGCTCCTAAAAATGCAACCTATATATCTAAAACCACACAAAACAAACTTATTGAATGCTGTGGAAAAATAATCGAAGAAGTTCTAATTAATAAAATTAAAAAATCAGATTAATTTTCTACCTTGTGTGATGGAGCCTCTGATTGTTCTAATGTTGAACAGCTATCTCTAGTTATAAGATACATTGACTGTGATAATGTTATTTGTGAAGATTTTCTACGGTTCATTGAATGTAAATCTGGTACAACTGGTCTTCAAATAATCCATCACATCTCCTCTTCTAGATCATTTAATTAATGAATTAGAAGATAGATTTGATGAAGGTGATATTGTTGTTTACAAAGGTTTATCTGGTATTCCTGCAACTGTTGTAAAAAAAAAAATAAAGAAAAATGTTTTTGGAAGTTAGATTTTATAGAATTTTTGCATTTTATATATCGGATATGCCTCATTCTACATCAATTCATGCTGAATTAAATTTGTGGGAAACATTTTGGAACAATCAATCTGTGATCCCATCCACTATTACAGAAACTTTAAAATCTATTGATATGAGGGGTTTCCCAAACATTAGGGAAGGTTTTTTAATAATGGGAACAATTCCAATTACTACATGTGAATGCGAGAGGAGCATTTCTGTTATACGCAGACTGAAAACTTATATGCGAAGCCGCATGACAGAGTCAATATTTAACTCTTTAGCTCTGATGTCTATTCATCAAGAAATAATTCCTGATGTAGAGAGAGTTTTGAATATTTTTTCTGTTTTAGGGGAACGACGCTTAGAGTTGGTTTTTACCTAATATTAATTTATTAATTTCTTTTTTATTTATTGACTATATTCTTGTATTTTAGTTTGTTTTATATTTAAGTATATTTTATATTTCATGAAAATTAGAAAAAACAAAATAAAAAATAAAAACTTTAAAAAAAAAAATTGGCCTAACTGCCTATCATGAAAAGGAAAGAATCCAGAAATGGAGGGCTAACCGAAGGCAACAATATTAATACTTTACATAAACTGCCTTTCAAGAAAAGGAAAGAATCCAGAAAGGGATGGCTAACCTAAGGTAATGGTATTAAAAATTTACACTAACTGCCTATCAAGAAAAGGCAGTTAGTGTAAATTTTTTTTTTTAGTGTTATGTGACCCAAAAAGAAGTGTTTTTTCATGGTAAAGCTAAAAATTGTTTAATTTCTACTTTTGCACTACCTTCCCAAATAAATATTGATTGAACTGCG